CATCCAACGAAGCCCGTGTTGACGTCAGTGCTCGAGAATTCTGGACGTGGGGACAGCGAGCCTTCTTCGACATCAGGATTTTTTATCCCATGGCCGCATGTCACCATAACTAGCTCTCGATGCTGCACACAGGAGGAACGAGAACGACTAGATAAGGGCATATGGGGAGAGAATTCAGAACATTGATCAAGGCAGCTTCACTCTTCTAGTGTTCACAACCTCTGGTGGGATGGGACCAAGTGCAAGATGCCTCTACACCAGACTCGCGGAGGTGCTATCCGAACAGAAGCAGCAGCCGAGAAGTTATGTTACAGCCTGGATGAGATGCATCGGCCCCAAAGCCGTCAACAGTTGCAGATATTGACTACGGTATGAGGCAACAGTCACTGAATGCCGCATAGATCTACGGCTCAACTAACTCAACACAGCTAGGATAGTTACTTATGTATTAGGATATTTAATATTAAGGTAATAAAATGGTGGCGAAGGTGTGGCTATTGGGGGAGGCTGCAGGCCACGTTTAAAAAGAAAAAAGAAAAAAAGTATTATAGTGTAGTGGTTGGTGTAATAGTGGTAGTGGTTGGTGTAATAGTGGTAGTGGTTGGTGTAATAGTGGTAGTGGTTGGTGTAATAGTGGTAGTGGTTGGTGTAATAGTGGTAGTGGTTGGTGTAATAGTGGTAGTGGTAGGTGTAATAGTGGTAGTGGTAGGTGTAATAGTGGTAGTGGTTGGTGTTATAGTGGTAGTGGTAGGTGTAATAGTGGTAGTGGTTGGTGTAATAGTGGTAGTGGTAGGTGTAATAGTGGTAGTGGTTGGTGTAATAGTGGTAGTGGTAGGTGTAATAGTGGTAGTGGTAGGTGTAATAGTGGTAGTGGTAGGTGTAATGGTGGTAGTGGTAGTGGCAGGTGTAATAGTGGTAGTGGTAGGTGTAATAGTGGTAGTGGTAGGTGTAATGGTGGTAGTGGTAGTGGCAGGTGTAATAGTGGTAGGACAGGTGTGAGAGTAACTGTACAAAGTGTGACGTAAGTCCCCACTAAGACCAGTTCTTCACACTATCAAATCCTGTACTGCACGATAACAGTTTTTTGTTAAGTTTATCACAGACTTGCAATATTGCGACATGATTATTTCCATACTGCATCGGATTACGCCACTCTCTTGTTTCTGACCACACTGCTGGATAGTTTGCAGGAAATTGGACACAAACCTGCAGTATAATAATGATGTTTTTTTGTGATCACGTGGGCCTGGTGTCACTTATCACACATAGGTTGAGTTAGTACTGACATATTTTCCCCTGTGGTTTGGATATTTGGGAACACCTGTGAAGAATCCCCTTCCAAAGTGGAGAGGGCTGAGGTGAAGATTCTTCAGGTGAGGTCATTAAAACAAATGGACGTGGGGTGTATAACCTTGAACTCACTTGTATAGCTAACGCTATACTGTTTGAAGTGAAATGGGCAGGGAAAGATCTTAAGGTGGAGCGGGCTGGGGTGAAGAATCTTCAGGTGTACAATCTGGGTAGAAGATTCTTTAATGTTCTGATATCTATTTTGTAAGTCAGTTGGGTTTTGCGACAAGCCGGTGGTGGTGGTGGTATGGTTTTACAGTACTACTTTTACTGGCCCGCCGCGCACCCTCACCGGATATGAGTCATGTATTGCTCTCTCTCTCTCTCTCTCTCTCTCTCTCTCTCTGGACTTTAATCCGGGACATCTGGGCTGCCATCCCAGTAATATAACCATCCCGCCACCATAGTCTTAAATTAGCCAAGGTTAGGATCACTGGGGTGTGATATCTGAGCCGCTGAAAATATTTAGCGTAAACAGACCCTCCCTGTGTGGTGTGTTGCCAGATATAATTATTCGCGCCATTTGACGTCATTATTAGCAATTACTCAGAGCAAGTATAATTGCAGGAGACATGAGTAGGCAATTATTCAGGATTAACGGGCAGTGATTTATTTAAAACTGAGTTAAGAGAAAGTGTGAGGTTAATTGAAAGGATCATGACCTCGCTTGGTGCTGAACTGTACAGTAGCGTAGTGCGGCAATTTGAGTAATTAATCGGGACGAAAACCTTCTTTATCCCAAGTGTTTACCAAGTAACCTAACACGTGATCTCCCTCTTTCTTCACGGCCAGCCGCTTTACAGCCTCGTTTAACTGACTGTGGTTATACACTTTCACCTCGTTGTGTTAAGTGATATGGAGCGCGTACACACACACACACACACACACGCAGTTATCCCCCAGTCCCCCACACACAGTTATCCTTATTCCACACACACACACACACACACACACACACACAGTTCAATTAATACAGTTATTTTTATCTCTCTCACACACGCAGTTATCCTTCACACACACACACACACACACACACACACGCAGTTATCCTTCACATACACACACACACACACACGCAGTTATCCTTCACACATACACACACACACTATAAAGTATGAACAACCTCCTACACTCATACCGTCTAATTCTCTCGGTAAATCACAAAAACAAATGACTCACCACAATGTTTTTGTCAAGAGTAACTTTTGAACCACTAAATTTCCACTCCAATTCCGTCTGTGCTCTACTCCACCTTCACACAGTAGATAAACAGATAGATATAAGTAAAATTCTCATGCATGTTTACAATTATTGATTCATCATGTATTTCCAGCCAATGCGATAGTTGTTTGTTAGAGATAAAACTGTGATTTATTCCATTTTAATGTGTTTATGAATATACGATAATGGCCGGGAATATATTAATGAGCCTGGGTGTTAAGTGGTTGAAGGTATATACTGTAGATGATGTACTGTATTATAAGGTAGAGTGTGGCGGCCTGGGTGGTGGGGATCCTTGAGTCTGGCTCACTAGCTGACTCATTTAATTCACTCCGGAAATCCTCACTTGTACGCTATATTCCCACTTTCTTCCTTCTAGATGCTGTAGTGTTGGCTGATATCATGTTAGATGAATCAAAACCGTTTTATCGGAAATTATCATGTAAATAAATAAGTAATTACCATTGCAATAAACATAAGTGCCAACTAGACATAATCCTGATAGCTTTGTCCTCTTGTTCAACCTTATTACTGTACAACCCAGGTTGTACTGCTCCCCCATTATACTTATGTTTTTCAATTCCACTGTAATTTATATGTATATGTGTATGTATATGTATATGCATGTGTATGTGTGTGTGTGTATAATAATAATAATAATAATAATAATTAAAGGTTTATTGAAAGAGCTTGGCAGCCAGAAGGCTGAAAATATACAGTTACATATTTGGGGAATGGGTTTCGAATTACAAATAATATACAAGTAACATAAGTGACACAAATAAAATATATAATAACTAGATGGGGAAAAGCTCAAACTACAGTTCATTTCAACATAGTGACAGTGCAAGAAGTAGTATTTACTGGGAGTGAATACACTGTGTGTGTGTGTGTGTGTGTGTGTGTGTGTGTGTAGGTGTATACAGTATGTACAGTATGTATTTATAAATAAAAAATAAAAAATAATAATAATAATAAATAAATAAAATAAATCAATATTGAAGTGATAACCGTGGTAACATTATGAGATGTTCTTATTACCACTATGCTATTGTACTATTCCAGATGATACTTAATGTTACATAATACTTCCTTGAGATAAATGTATAGTATATATCAGGTGCCTCAAAGAGAGCTCAGGTTCTCAACTGGCTCAGTCATGTTAATATTGTTATTATAATCCACTCTGTATCTGTATTTTTCTGGCTAAATAAACTGTTTCAATTCAATTCAATGGTATTTCGTAATGGCTTTCAGTTTCCCTTTTTATCGAATTCTCTTGATTTACTTTATATTCTGAGATTATTTAGTGGTACAGTTTAGTTTTTAGTTTAACAAATTTATTGACAAAGCTTGGAGTACAGTTTGCCTATTGTGAGTAAGTCAGTCAGGTCTTGACACTGAGGGTGGTATCACTTCTCACTGCCACACAGGACAGAGGTTCATACAGTACTATTTTACTTACTTTTACTTTTATCCTTTTCACCACTGACCGGCTCGTTAGCCGCTTGGGCGATCGATCAGTCTCTGTCACGCACTGTTGGCAAGTACTGGGCATGCACCGGCTCCTGAATGTACCTGAACCCGCTCCAGTGTTGGTCAAGTCTTGTCTTAAAAGAGGAAAGAACTCACACTCGATGACGTCACACCACTTTCTGGTAGATTGTTCCAAGAGTTTACAATGATTTTATATTTACGTTTTCTACTTAGCCATCTTAATATTGTTATAATTATCAACTCTGTATTATTCTGGCTAATTAAACTTTTTCAATATTAGTATGAGTGTGATAGAGGGTGTGATGATGACGTCATAATTTGTACAGGGTATCTGTAGGAAGGGATGGAATCATTACGTCATAACTTGTATTATATGGAAGGACGGAATTATCAAGGATAATATCCTTGGGAATTATGACATTACAATTTGTACTTGTCGGAAGGGATGGGAAAATGATATCACAATTTGCAATTGTAAGAGAGGATGGAATCAAGACGTCACAACATACTTGTAGGAGAGGAAGGGATTATGACGACATAGTTGTAGGAAAGGGTGGAATCATGACGTCACAACTCGCCTGTCAAGTACTGAGAAAAAGATTGTTAAAGGAGGAACATAACTAGATGTGAGGTTATTTTAGAAATATATCTTGCAAGAAAGAAAATTTATAGCGATAATATATATGGTAAAAGTGTATGTCAATAAAGTAGCATAAATAAGACTACACTACTGAATATTACAAGAAAAGAAAGAGATTGACATTTCACAAAAGTAAACTTCTGTTGTTTTTATTATAAGACTATACTTCTAAAATATCATCACCATATCATCTGATGAAAAAAATTTACGATATTTCCAAGTAATGATGGAAAATAAATAGCGGATGATAATAGCATGTTCCTCCGTATTAGTTCCTGGCTGGTCAGTGTTGTTATGGTCACTGGTGGCAACATGGCGCGGGTGACAATGCTCAGCTGTGCCTGTTGTTTACGAGCATTATGGACCCCAGAGGAGGTGAGTGTATAATATAATAAATCACAAATTATTTTACGACACATCTCACTTGATGAACTAGATTCGAGATGTTAAAATTAATGATGTAGGGGTATTTGTTTAACCAAGGAGGCTGGTGTAGGTGAGAACATTTGACGTGCCTTAGTACAGTATAGATTTACATAGATTGATAATTATTGAATAAAACTCATACTGGTTTATCACGTACATAGACTGTGCAGGTTTATAAATAATGGTAAACAGTAAGTCAACGTCGGATAAACCAAGAATACTGCCAAAAGGTTATTTCATCTTGACATTAATATATTGTGTGAATGTTTATTAATTGATGTTTTCTCTGCATGACAGCTGAGTTAAGTGAGATCTATATGTATAAGACTCTGTCTACCTTCACTGTCTATGTTCGTGACTAACAAATGTGAACTTGTATGACAGTTTAGAGAATATATGTCTGTCTATCACACACACACATGCCACTTAATGTAAGGTTAATTGTCTTATCCAGATGTTCTAAAAGTAAGAAATAAGTATTTGTATTCATTAGCTATAGAATTTTGGGTAAATTTACATTTTATGCCCCACAGAGGTTTAATGGTGAAAGACATGTTTATACGGTGGTATTTGATGTGATTTGAACGATTCTGACCCTTATTTCCACCGTCAATGACTCGTTTCTGAGATATCCTCTTCCCCCATAATAATAATAGTGGGTATTATGGCACAAGTCACCTGATACAGAGAACTGGAAGTTTGGTATGTGCAGTCAATAGAATTAACCAATCTATAACATAGTTTTTCTATACTGTATTGCTCAGAAATTACTAATTAGTGAGATATAACATGCCATTACTTAGGTTAGGTTTGTTTAATGAAAACTATAAGAGGAGGTATGGGGGGGTCTACCTATGAGACACCCTGTACATTGTGCACTACCTATGAGACACCCTGTATGATACATGTGTGTGCACTACCTATAAAACACTATGGTACATGTGTGTGCACTACCTATAAAACACTATGGTACATGTGTGTGCACTACCTATGAGACACCCTGTATGGTACATGTGTGTGCACTACCTATAAAACACTATGGTACATGTGTGTGCTGTACCTATGAGGCACCCTGTATGTGTGCACTACCTCTGAGACACCCTGTATGTGTGTGCACTACCTATGAGGCACCCTGTATGGTACATGTGTGCACTACCTGTGAGGCACCCTGTATGTGTGTGCACTACCTATGAGGCCCCCTGTATGTGTGTACTACCTATGAGGCACCCTGTATGTGTGTGTGCACCCATGTGTATGTGTGTGCCCCACCCATGAGGCCCCCTGTATGTGTGTGTGCCTCACCCTGAGGCCCCCATGTATGTGTGCCCCACCCATGTGTGTGTGCCTCCCCCCCTGTATGTGTGTGAATCCACCATGAGACCCCTGCATGTGTGTGGCACCCCCATGTGTCCCCCCTATGTGTGTGTGTACCCATGAGGCCCCCTGTGGTGCAACACCTACTGTGTGTGCACTACCTTATGAGGCCCCCTGTGTGTGTGCACTACCCATGAGGCCCCCTGTATGTGTGTACCCACCCCTGTATGTGTGTGTACCCATGAGGCACCCTGTATGTGTGTGCCCTATCTATGAGGCCCCTGTGTGTGTGCACCACCTATGAGGCCCCTGTATGTGTGCACAGAGGCCCCCATGTGTGTGCACCCATGAGGCCCCCCTGTGTGTGTGCATACCATGAGGCCCCCTGTATGTGTGTGTGTGGGCACCCATGCACCCCTGTATGTGTGTGCCCACCTATGAGACACCCTGTATGCGGTGTGCACTACCATGAGATACCCTGTATGTGTGTACTGTGGCCCCCTGTATGGTACATGCATGCCCCACCTATGATGCCCCCTGTATGGCACATGTGTGCACTACCCATGAGGCCCCCTGTATGTGTGTGTGCACTACCCATGAGGCCCCCTGTAGTGTGTGTGCACTACCATGAGGCCCCTGTGTGTGTGTGCATACCCATGACGCCCCCTGTGTGTGTGTGCACCACCTATGGGCCCCTGTGTATGTGTGCACTACCCATGTGTGTGTGCCACCCATGAGGCCCCTGTATGTGTGTGCACCACCTATGGTGCCCCCTGTGTGTGTGCACTACCCATGAGGCCCCCCTGTATGTGTGTGTGCACCACCATGAGGCTCCCCTGTATGTGTGTGCACTACCCATGTGTGTGTGTGCACTACCCATGAGGCCCCCTGTGTGTGTGTGCACTACCCCATGTGAGGCCCCTGTGTGTGCACTACCTATGTATGGTACATGCGTGTGCACTACCCATGAGGCACTCTGTATGTGTGTGCACCACCTATGAGGCCCCCCTGTATGTGTGCACTACCTATGAGGCCCCTGTATGGCACATGTGTGCACTACCTCATGAGGCACCCTGTATGTGTGTGCACCACCATGAGGTCCCTGTATGTGTGCACTACCATGAGGCACCCTCATGGTACATGTGTGCACTACCTATGAGGCACTGTGTGTGTGTGCACCACCCTGTGTGTGCACTACCCCCTCATGTGTGTGCACACCTGTATGTGCAGCACTGTGTGTGTGTGCACCACCCATGAGGCCCCCTGTATGTGTGCACCACCTACCCATGAGGCCCCCTGTGTGTGTGCACCACCCATGAGGGCCCCCCCTGTATGTGTGTGCCTACCATGAGGCCCCCTGCATGTGTGTGCCCACCCATGAGGCCCCCTGTATGTGTGTGCACCTGAGGCCCCCTGCTGTGTGTGTGCACTACCATGAGGTGGGTGTGCACCACCTGAGGTGTATGTGTGCACCACCTATGAGGCCCCTGCATGTGTGTGCACTACCTATGAGGCCCTGTATGTGTGTGCACCATGTGTGCACCACCTATGAGGCCCCTGTATGTGTGTGTGCCCACCATGAGGCCCCCTGTATGTGTGTGTGCACTACCCATGAGGCCCCCTGTATGTGTGTGCACTACCTGAGGCCCCCTGCATGTGTGTGCACTACCCATGAGGCCCCCATGCAGGTATTACCTACGAGGAACCCTGTATGTGTGTGCCCTACCTACGAGGGCCCCTGTATGTGTGCACTACCTATGAGGCCCACTGTATGTGTGTACACTACCTATGAGGCCCCCTGTATGTGTGTGCACTACCTATGAGACACCCTGTATGTGTGCACTACCTATGAGGCCCCCTGTATGTGTGTGCACTACCTATGAGACACCCTGTATGTGTGCACTACCTATGAGGCCCCCTGTATGTGTGTGCACTCTCTGTATGTGTGTGCCCATGAGGCCCCCCTGTATGTGTGTGCACTACCTATGAGGGCCCCTGTATGTGTGTGCACTACCTATGAGGCCCCCTGTATGCATGTGCACTACCTATGAGGCCCCTTGTATGTGTGCACTGCCTATGAGACACCCTGTACAGTCACTCATAAAAGTTCGTGGGGGGTCTCTGTGAGTGTGGGTGAATCCCACCTCCAGCCCTTTCTGGACAACAGGTCTCTGTGCACGGGACAATGCACACACTAACATACTCGGTGAAACTGTTGGAACTGTGTGTGTTCAATTAAGACCTGTTGTTTGACAGGAATATTTGTCCATGCAAATATTGTGTTATGTCATATAATGTTTACACATTTGCATTTGTGTGACAGCATATGAGGGTTAAAATTGTCATGGACAATATGACCACAGTCTTCTGTTACCTGAACCATGAGACGCTTCGATATGTGAAGACAAAGCAATACGATAGAGGGGGAGTGGTGGAGGAGGGGGTAAAGAGAAGGTTTTGCCAGGTGGAGACTAGAGACGAGAGGGGTCAAGTGTTTAGCTGCCGCTCTGCTGTACTAATTGAGGTAAAATCCTTATATTAATAAAGGTGGTAATGATATGATATATGTTAAACACATGAAACTTTCACAGTTCCTTTTTTTTAATTCGACCGATTACTCTCTAGAAATGGCTTGGTGTGTTTGCTCCAGTAGACTGTTGCCGTAGATTCGGGACTGTTCCATTACGACGTTGGCCAACCGCTTCACTGTTCATTTTTTCGAGTCTTTGTCTACTTCGAATGTTTTATTACATATTATTCAGAATGGGTTTGCGTTGGATATATAGAGGAATATATGAAGAAGATATATTATACGATGTTAATGGTAGATACTGCCTGAGTTGAACTCCTAACAGTTTACAATATTATTCATGTGGATACGAATCAAATTTTCGAATGGACTGGAATGCACCTCGACCTGCACTACCGTTGTCTCTGCTGCTTAATTAATACTTAGAAATTGAAGGGTCTCTAACCTTCATATCTTATCATACAACACTGAATGTGTAGAAATTGAAGTGGCTCTCACCTTCATATCTTATCATACAACACTGAATGTGTAGAAATTGAAGGGGCGCTAACCTTCATATCTTATCATACAACACTGAATGTGTAACATGATTATTACAAACGATAATAACTGATTGACACGCACACGGAACCCCACGAACTTTTATGAGTGACTGTACATGTGTGCACTACTTATGAGACACCCTGTATGTGTGTGCACTACCTGTGAGACGTCCTGTTTTTGTGTGCACTACCTATGAAGCACCCTGTACGTGTGTGCACTCACTATGAGGCACCCTGTACAGTAATACTATATCTGTACTGTACTAATCTATATAATGGCTCAGGAGCCAGTGTCAGTACATATGTAGTGTCACAGACTGTTTGTAGGCATTTGGCTGCATCCAGCATGGTAGAAGCTGTACTCTTAATACAGGTAGAAGCTGTACTATAACTATAGCCATAAGCTAGAGTTAAGTGGCTTAAATAAGCAACTTATTAGCTTCTCTAATTGATTTAAAACAGAGCTAAATTTGAATGTTTTGAGCTTTGGGGCAGAAGGGTCTCCCCATATTTTCGTATAATAATACAACAATGATTGTTAGTCTTCATGGATGGGTGAGCAGGGCTGGCATGATTTAAATCAAATGATTTAAGACAATGATGTAAATCATCAAAATTTGACACACGAAAGTGTTAAAAACGAATATTTTCATATTGCATGTATGTACAGTTGCCTCCACATGAATGTACCATGGCCTGGGAGTGTATGTGGGCACAGGTATGGGACGTGACAATGCAGCACTTTAGTCATGAGCGTGAAATCGTGGATTACCCTGTTTACCAATTCCCCATAGTTTAGACCTAGTCACTCAGTTGTGGCTACACACCAATGCTGCAAAACATGTACTATTACAGGATTAATTTATCTGTTTACCTCCTTTATAATTTGTATACAGTATTATCATATACAGTGATCCCTCGGTTAACGAAATTTTGGTTAACGAATTACCTTCCATAAGATTCTTTACTTCTGTTAACGAGCAAACCCTCGGTTAACGAATTCCTTACGAATTTTCCCAACATGTTTTCGCCTGCATTTGGCTGCCCACCAGCTGTAGTAGTTGTCCGCCAATACAGTAATCGGTTTTAGGGCTTAAATTCCTTACCATTTTAGTAAATATCAAGAAGGTTGTACTATTCAATAATTTTAAAAGTTTATATTAAATTTTTTAGTCATTTTAACAATTATTGAACATAATTGAAGTGCAGGAAGCTATTTTTTGCGCGCCAAACAGCCACTCAACACACCAAGCTTGGCGTCAGTTTGTTTACCAGTTCAGAGGAAGGAACATCTTGTTTGAGACTTTTCAACATAAATGCTTTTTTTCTGTGTTTCAGTCAAATTATTGGTCATTTTGAAATATATTTTACATATTGACAATATATAATGCAGTGCAGTGTTGATTTAAAGAAAATAATTTTGAATTACACCAAGTGAACTAAAATTTTATGGGTGAAATGGCGGCATGGGGTGACTTCTCTTCCACCCCAATGCCTTCTCTTCTCCCTTCTCCTCCACCCCCATTCTAATTCCCATCATCATGATCATCAACCAGGAGCCTTCTACATGCACACCTCAAAGTTAGTGTACTTTACTGCATTTATTTTTAGTTTGTATGTAATTTTCGGTGAGCTGGAACCAATTACCTAAAAACCCATTGAATTAATCGTTCCAGTTAACGAATTTTTCTGTTAACGAGCAACCTTCTGGAATGAATTGTGCTCGTTAACTGAGGGACCACTGTATATTGATCAAAAGGGTTATTTTAGTTTCATACCCATTCATTCAGCAATGACTACAGTGCTGCATTGCCAAATCTCGTACCCGAGCCCTCACACTCTCCCTGGGTGTGGTATGTTCCTATGGAGGCAACTACAGTATACATATATTTTTAATTCCTCTTCAACCTTTGTAATAAAAAATCAACGAATAAGAATAACAGCTGTGACTCAAAAATGGAGAAATTATTTTGAATTAAAAAAAATTAGTAGTGAAGTGATTTGATTGATTCCTGTTTTATTAAAATACCTGCAGTATATTACAATATTGTATTATAGCTGTATCAGCTATTGATTTCATTTATCTCTGTAAGAGCGTGCTTCAAAATACATGATCGAGGGAATTCCTGCCAACATGTAAATTTTGATCTTATTAAAGCAAGTTCAAGTGCAGGTGCTTTATTTTAGTTGTATTTCTCCATATCTGACCCATGGTAAATACCTGAACAATTCTGCACATGAAATTAACTTGAGATAGATGTTTTTTCATTTTCATGTTTTTTTTTTTCTACATGTCCCGTATACTGTATTCCAGGTATGATTTTGTACACTTGTGATTTCACTATGACATTTATGATATGATTAAAATCGGTGTCTTGTCATAAATAATTTATGATGTACTTTTTTGCCAACCCTGGGTGAATGTGTACCAACTTAGTTTGTGTTGTTAATCTTAAATTTTTAATTTTATATTTTTATCATTGCTTTCTTGACCCAGCTAGAACAAGATTATGTTGAAGGTAAAAAAAAATCATGAAAATGGATGTTCTTCCATGTAATGTTTTCAACTAAACATGTGTTTCATATACAGTACAGGCATACCCATCCCCTTATACTCCTAATGTTTGCTTCTCCATCTACTGTACTGTATCCTCTATATAACACTGGAAAGATGTGTAATCCTTGAAGAGTGTTTACATTTCTAAGGCTCAAGTTTGTACACATTGCTTCACCCTTAGTACAGCCATACAGGGTCAGCTCTCAGTGTCAAGAGGACTGGAACTTACCGGTAATCGCTGTTCCTCTTAGAAGTGTATCAAGTAGTACAGTATTGTTGGAGGCAAGATAAAAAACATAACTTGCAGATTTATCTTCACAGATCACTCACTTAATTACCATCTTCCATTGAACTGTCTCTTGCAATTACTTGAAGATTAATTAGCCCCAGCTTGCTTCATCTTAAGATTAACCATCCTGATGCTAACCTAATGCAATCTAACCTAACATAACATAACCCCTATCCCCTCAGTTAGTATTAGGATGTTTAATCATCAGATGACAAAAGCTGGGCGGCTAATTTTCAAGTAATATGTCATTTGTTAATTATAAAGCTTGCTTATACCTGCCCTCACTTATGCTCTGATTCTTATTACAGGTAGAACAACACACAAGGTCACAACAGATTGATAAGGAAATACAGAAAGACAGACACAAATTCAGAAGACAGGTTAGTTACAAAGGTTGTTACTGTACTTACTGATTACTCTTTCCTCTTGTGTATACATTACAGTATTTACAAGGTTCAGTTATTCAGGACATAGCCACAGTTGTTTCATATGTATGTAAACTATGCAGCATAACTCTCAAGATAGTACTTAATGTTCTCATGATAACTATAACAACATACAGTGTCTCATGCTGAACGTTGATCGGGTCCTGGATAATAAACAATTGTGGATGTTTAAGCTTATTAACTGCATCACTATTATACACGTTTAAAAATTTTGAGGTAGTGAGTAGTGTGTCAGATAATATTTTTGATGTACTGTACAGGTCATCATGAGTAACCTGTGAGATCCATACTGCCGCTGTAACACCTGCTGGCAAACCCATTTAAATAATGTTTAATGATATGGTAGACAGGCCTGTTTAAATGACAGGTATGGTTTGTACTGCAAACTGTACAAGAATTCTGATCTAGAGGGCTCAGGGTCAGTTCAATACCATTTGAATCAGTGGTTGAATTAGGCACTTCGACCCCTCTGCATCCTGATGTTGAAGTACATGTGTGAGGTGTCTCGTACAATAAGGGCGATGTCGCCAATCTGGCTTTTTTTTTCGTTTTCGGTGGACTTGGATACTTGAGTTCATGCTCTCTCTGGTGGGCCAGGAGGCTGCAGGGGGGAGTGGGCACTGGAGATGAAGGGGAGGACTCCCTGGATGATGACCTTCTAGACTACTAACCCCATCACCTCCACCCACTCACCACTCATGCCAGACATCTTCACCCTGTGTAGTGACTGTAATTATCTCCTAATTACCTCAAAATAAATCATTTCCATTGATTGAGTCATCAAAAAAGCACATTTATGTATAATTTTCATATCCTGTAAATTTCACAATACAGCTGTAATCCAAATTGTAAATGAGTACTATTTTTTTTATTCAAATTTATGTGCCTCATTTACATAATTTTTTTAAAGAATCTGTGTCAATATTTTATAACAGGTAATTAGTATAGTTTAATTTGGATAAGTAAGAAAACACAAAAATGCATTTTTTTCCATTTTCTACTCTTGTTTCCATATTCAGCTTGTCAAGCCAAACAAAAGGATGTATAAAACATGAAAATGTGATTTATTTTTTTTGTTGCAGTACAAAACAAAAAGTAAAATTTTAAATGCGATTATCTCTCAACCTAATTTTGGCGACCTCTTCCTTGTTCCACGAGGTGCCTCATTCAATATATGCAGATGCTCTTAGTTCCTGCTGCATCTCCAAGCTTATATGAGGTACCTGATCTTAGGATTTTTGACTACAAGTACAATTACAAGATGGACTAGTGTTAAAACTACACTTTCTTACCTTTGAATTCTAACCAGACACCCTCTGCCAGGTGGTCTCATTAATGCACTAGCCAGTCTGGATGTTTTGGGACTGTAAACCTCCCCTATTTGGTCTTGTGAACACCCATCCCTCCTAATGGTGATGGAAGGCACAAATGCATTGTATTTCTTGGCCTAAAACCTGCATTTGATTTTACTAATAGGCTGCTCTTATGAACTAGCCAAAATGAACCAACACAAGGCTGCTGCACTGTTTCAGGGCTACAAAACTGAAGTCAAAGATATGCCACTAGGTGGAGTGATCAGTCTTACTGTGTTTAATATGCTCATGAATGCAATGTTAGGTCCATCCCAGACAGACTCAGAAAGGGAACACATTCATAAGGGATTCATTCCCTGGCCTTTATTGCTCTTACTGTACTGCATCATATTATGTTTGTGTCAGCTCTTGCAACATGACCTAACAAGATTTTGTAGAAAATAATATCAGGGAATAAAGTTTTTGGATGTGACTACAGAGTAAGACCTTTCTGTTATACTGAAGGGTTCATGTATCAGCTGCAAATGGCCTCACTAATGTAGCTGCCAGGAAAACCTTGTTTTCAATTCTATCATTTAATTTTTCCTGTACTAGTTACACTTTTATGTGTTTGATTTTGTCTTAGTGTACAAGTGATGTTGTTGCATGTGGGTTAAAATTCAAATAATGGTTAGTTTCAGTAGTTCCTTGATACTAACCTTTATTTTTTCATTGCATATTTACAGTATCTCAAAAAAGTATCTGTCTACACACTGTGTGAAACTTTGAGACCAAGGATGATAGATATTGGGATATGTGTATTCCTGCCCTATATAGTTTAACACAAGTAATGCAATGTGTAGTTACTTTGGCATAAGTATTATGATGTTCAGTTACCAAATGTAGCAGGATCAGTATGCCACAGAGCCAAGCATACCAACCATCCCGGGACATCACGAGTTGCATGTAGCATTTCAGAAGTCATCGGACCCTTTATAGTAGATAATTTTTTGAGTTACTGTACTGTCCATGCTGTTAAATTTTTCAAAACCCAATCTTATGCCAAAAATCCTATACAGTATTGACCAATTTTATCCTCAAGACTCCACTATTTAGCCTTAGATGCATTCCCCCCAAAAAATTTCAAAGAATTTTCTTCTCCAAATCATTATTTCAATTTCAAGAATCCCATAAAACTGGCAGAGAAAAAAAATCCACCATAAAAAAATTTATTTATGGCAAGGTGAAAATAGTGTGCCCAATGGTTTGTTTACATTTTTGTATACTGGTACCATCTCCCAAGCCTTTTTTTTTTTTTTTTTTTTACTTTTGGGGCACCCCCCCACCCTAGATTCTGTGCAAGGTGAAGCGCTTACAGCGCCCATCTGGGAAGCATGCTAAGTTCATGCTTGCCTTTATGTCTCATGAGTTAAGGGCGTAGAAGCCTGAAGGTTCATAGGTTTTTGTCAGTAAGTTATTGGAAGCTCCAACAACTTTCCCTGAATACAAATTCGCAGCTTTTCGATTTACAACAGGTACCTACTTTACTGCTAGGTGAACAGGGACCAAGGGAGGCTAGGAAGTGTGTCCAAACAACTTTCCACCGGCCTGGGAATCGAACCCGTAACATCTCACTTGCGAGGCAAGAGTGGTACCGCTCTACCATCGGCGCCCCTATGCCAAGCCTAATAACTGCTTAAGAGTTGTATTTCTATGAATTTTTCACTCAAACTTTTTATCATCATCTGAAGAATGTAGTGAACTTGGTAGAGAAAAATTTTATTGTGGGAGAAAATATTACCTGTAGTTTATGATTCTCACCCAAGCTGGTCAGGTGACGCATCAGTCTGCCACAGGAGTTTCTTACCATTTATTTGTATGACCATTAGTTGACTTATGAGTTTTCAAGATGAACAATGTTTTGCACTTGTTTATATACAGTAAGTAACACAACCAATAAATCAGAAACATGATGAAGAAAGAAGAGGAATTTAGAGCTAACTGATAGTGTCACACCACTTTGTCTAGTTTTATAATGTCACGACATAATCAATTAGGCAACACATTCACCTTTCTTTTGTTATTGGATATTTTGGTTATTTGAGTGACTGATATTTTGGATAATACTTATAAATAATTATTACCATGCATGAAAGATATTAAAGGTCATCGAATTCTACTGAGAGGATCTTGGTTTAAGGGTGGCAGTAAGAGAGTGGCAGAGCACTGCGTGTGTCTTACTAGGATGACGAATGGTAAATTCTTCTCATGGAGCATAATGCTGCTCATAATTTTTGGCATTTAAAATTGTCCAATATAGTATACAGAATTTATATATAATGTACAGTACAGTATATACTGTATGGTGTTTACAGTTTGGTTTCATACTTTAACCTCTAAACTGCTCCAGGCTGTTTGGGCAGCCCTAGTTTCATGTTATTGTTTGAATGGGACCACCATGTTTGAGAGGGGAGCCACTCTTCAGACATGTCACTGGAGCAGTTACCATCCAGTAGGGAGTCACAGTTACTCCCTGGATGCCACGTGGGAAGGGTGGTAAAATTTTTTGGGTAAAATATGTGGAGTGTGGCAACAAGTGCTGCAACAAATGTTTCCCAGTGCTTCACAGTGTATATCTATGGGCTTATAAGTGCTTCTATGTGAGTAATAGGCATTACTGTGGTGTGTATAGTAATTTTCCAATTATTTTTGTTGGTTTTTATTTTTTGTGATCACCACTAAAATTGCATCTATGGCTTCCCTAACCACTGTACGGTACACCAATTAACTTGGTACCAAAAGATTCCTTTTTGACCAGTCTATGACCTCATTCTTTTCCTAAGAACTGTTTTAATTCAGTTATTTGGACATTCCTAGAAAAAATAGGATAAATTTAAAGGTTAAAACAATGGCCAACAACTACTGTATCACTACAATATACTGTAAGTAAATGCAGTCATCTTTCGATTTACACATTTAATTTGCACGTTTTTTAAATAACACTATTCTTAAATTAATACCTAGTTTTAAAATAATTTTTTTTTTTTAAATACCGTAGCACGGTTTTGAAAAGAGCGATGTTGCACCAGGCAGCGTAGTTCAGTACCTCATTGCTTTCCTACTTTACAAAAAAGGAAAGGGTAACATCACCTGAACCTCAACCATTAACATCTGGCATCTTGAAAGCTCCCACTTCTCCTCCCCATCACCTGCTCTGTCATCTGATTCAGATGACTCCCTCCCCCAGTAACCTCTCCTCCACCACCTCCACCAGCTCCCACACACCATCCCAGCCATCATTCATCATAAGTGTTAGCACAAATTTTCATTTAGAATTATTTTTTCTACTGTATTATTAAGTTTGCTTCTGTTATTGTATTATTATTATTATTAGCATTATTAAAATTTTTATTATATTATTATTGTTATTATATTATTGTAAATAAAGCATAATGAAGGAAATAGATAATTATATAAATAAACTACAGTTTTGGGGGAGTTTCCCCTAACCCCTGTCAATTCGTTTATTTCTTTTGGTATAATTAAGTTTGATTAACACGTTTTTGATTTACACGACCATTAGGGTGACAATAGTGCATAGGGGTGAATTTCTAAAATTGATTAAATGGAATGGCCATTGGTCCAATACTGCGTACCCATGAAAAAAGAACACAGGCGAAATCCTGGGTCATTTGGACAATATTTAGAGGTAGCTCAAGTCAATTGAAGTTTTATCCTTTTGGCAAAAAATACGAATATTCATAATATGCCGGTTTATTTTAAAATTTACATATTGAGCAAGTTTATGTGTACACTGTACATATAAATGATTAATTCCTTTTTAAAATGAAACTGCAGTGAACACGCTTACATCAATGGGTGGGAGAGGTGTGGACAACCCATTCATTGTTTTCGCTTTTGCTTGTAAGGTCCTGTTTTGATGTCCCTGGTTGTGACCGCCTCTGCTCTTCAACAACCTGCAGCAGATGTTGACGCTGGTCTTCACTCTTCGTGATCTTGCTGTTGAATGCCTGTATCAAGGCAATCCCTCTCTCTGCAGTGTCGTTGATGACTCTGAGACCACCCACAACTGCGACGCCAGTTTTGAAGTCTTCATCATCAGACCATGTGTCAGGTTCCTTGGACAAAAAAGAAGTCTTCATTTTGAGACTTTCAAATAGAAAGTTTGATCCTCTAGAAGCAAAGTCTGAGAGCTGCTTTGTGGGAAGGGAAGATGTGGCAGGAAGAGCAGCACGTTTTGGTGAATCCTCGGTCGCCTTCCTCTCAACGATTGCCTGAACTATGTTTGTCTTCATTGTTGCATTAACTTGTGGATCGAAGAGTGCAAGACCCACCAAGCCTTCACTGAGGTACCACAGGTGACGACCGAAGACTGTGAGACATGTTCTTGATATTTTGACGTCGTGGTACTCTGACAGGTCTTGGAGGAGCCGCAAATCATTAGCAGGAGCGGAGGATGGAACGGAGGCCGTGAACCATGCACTGACATACACCTCTAGCACAAAGAATGTGAATCGTTTCAAGCCTAATGTCTCACGAGCAGTTAGTTTAAACTGATTAGCAAAAATCAGGATCTTCATGACATAAATGAGCTTAGCCATCCACCGTGCTCGGTGAAGTGCTCCGGGCCGTCGGAGATTAAACTTGGGTAGAGCTCCATCGAGACACCTGATTGCTAGCTCCAGTACCTCACGGTAATCATCACGTGGCTGCTGCTTCTTGCCCAGATGATGTTTCCAGCAACAGATGAGGTCATCTCGTTTCTCGTACAAACTTGGAGGGAGGTCTGAGAGAGGGCTGTAGTCATCTTGACTGATGTCCTTCCACTTATGCTTGAAGCGAGAGAAGAGAGTATTATCTGGTCCAGAGGAAGGCCCCATGCATTCCACATACGCTTTCTCGGCAACAAGCTCAAGGATGTGGTGACGACACGCGAGATGCAGAAGACGGCGGCCGAGTTTCTGCTCCAGAATGACACATGCCCCCGACAAGTGCCCAGTGTTTGAAGCTGTTGTGTCAAAACTGAGTGCTGAAACATTCTCTGATATTTTCCACTCTTCCAGCGCTGCACTGACTGCTGTAGCAATGGCCTGTCCAGTCCCTGACAATAGTTTCGGGACACCAAGCAGCTTTTCAGTATTGATTCCGGAGACAAGAATGGCGATTCGGTCAACACTCGCTCCTTGTTCATCAGGAATAATTTTTCCATCCCAGTGCACAGTGAGCACTTCACTAGGTTGAAATTTTTCTTTAATTTCGTTGGCAATCCCAGAACGGTGGGTCGCTCGCGAAGTACGCACTGTCTCATAGTTTAAAACTAGTTCCATTGGGTCATGACCTAGACTAGCAGCCGTGGCACTGACGATCCGGAGAGCAGAGCGGTGACTGATCCCAGTGCGGTCCAATGTACTTGACAATTCAGGGGTGATAACTTTGAGAGTAGCACGTTTACGATTGGAAGAAGATACCACTGGTGATATCGCTAGGGAACTTGTAGATGATGACGAGCTTGATTGTGATTCTGTTTCAGACGAAGAACCCAACTCATCATATTCAAGAGCAGAACTGGCTTGATTCTGTTGTAGAGATTGCTTACTCTTGCTTTCTTCCCGACGCTTGATGGAACAAGCAATCTTTTTGTCTACTCCTGCCATTACACCTCTTCTCCCTTTTTCTCGTTGCGCTGCCAGGAATGCTCGGTCTTCTTTGATGGTCAAGAGCTGCATTGCCTTGGGGTGGGCAACATCGAAGAGGTCCTCTAACTCATCACAAAAAGTTTCCTCTTTCTTACGTTGTGTGTCTGTAGTGCGAGTGCAGTTTTTCTTAAGTCCCTTCCACATTAAAAAAAGATCCACTACCTTTCGTCCAATACTCTTCTCAGTTATGGTAGGAATCCGTGCTTTATTCCAGAAACTAATAACCGATGCTGCAACTTCACTCGCAGAATCATTCACTGTTTTCTTATGTTCATTGTGACCGTGGAAAAACAGACGTAGAACATCTCCTCTTGAAGGAAGTTGTGCACCCGTGATTTCGGTTATGTGTTGACCAATGAGCCAAACTTCAGTTTTTGAACGTGTACTCTCCATTGAACCTGAAACAAACAAAAACATTTATGTAACTTATGTTGTTACTGTTATGCAAACAACAGCACCCATAAAGCATACGGCATGCAAGATCACTTGTATAAAGTTTTTAAAGTGTTATATACCTAAATTGATGCATTGATTTTAGACAAAGACAATGGTACTAACCGTAATACTGCAACAAGAGCGACGCACACACACCCACCGTCACGTCTCACACACAACTGATGCTACTGTACCAGTCAGACACTGGCACACAACCTCTTCCCCCTACCCCGACTGACACCCGCCTCTCCCTCCCCTCTGCATTGCCAATAGCTGCACCAGCCAAAATACTCATTACTCATTTTTAGAAAAAATGTTAGGAACAACTTTAGTTTGAATTTGCATTCTACATATACCTGCAAAGTTTCATAGTAATCGGTTCATAAATAAAGAAATTAGAAAAAATCAATAATAATTTCAGTAGTGTTAACTTCAAATGGCTTGAGCCACCTCTAAATATTGTCCAAATGACCCAGGATTTCGCCTGTGTTCTTTTTTCATGGGTACGCAGTATTGGACAAATGGCCATCTAAAAATAAAAACTTTCACTTTTTATTGTCACCCTAACGACCATTCTCAAGAACGTAATTACAATACAGTACTGTACTGTGTAAATCGAGAGATGGCTGTATCAGCTCTTGAGTAATGGAGGCTGTGGTGGTGGTGGTGAGCGGTAGATTTTTCTCTTTAATATTTATAAAACATGATATCTTCATAAACTTGGGTACTGTACAGTATCTGTAAGAAGTGATCAAATATGTAAAGGACAGTAACCCAGTTCAATGAAGAGAATAATAATGATAAATATAGTACAGTACTGTAATTAACTAACCAGAAACTGGGATGTAAGTGGTGGGACAGCAAATGTCTTTGAAAAGAATAAAATGCATGTACTGTATAGACAAATGGTGCAATGTACATTTAATGTATGTTTAAAAAAAAAAAAAAAATATTATTTATAATTTTACAAACCTTAAAATGAAACACAAATTCTATGTCGATAAAATGATGCTTTTTTTTTTTTTACAATCCTTAAAATGAAAATTCCTATACTGAATCATCCTATAACTGTGTGACTTTGTAAACCCTTCAGGAATACACTAGTGTACAACATTGTAGCTATTTGTGGTGAGTAATTCATCATGTGAAGTTAAAATATTTTTGGGAGTGAAGGAGTATGACAAGCCAACAGCCCAGAGACAGACGTGCATCATTAATAAGTATTAATTCATACATGATGAGATGACAAGTACAGAGAAATTACAAAAATTACATGTTGTTATCCAGGTAGATGATGCAACTTAAAAGATAAAGTGTATCATTTGAGTAATATGGTCATAATATTTCAGACTACAGCCACTGCCTCTGTGTGCTACACGACCTGTGATATATTAAAACAGCCCAGTGTTTAGCTGTGTCTGATTCTGACAGGAACAGAGAAATGTTCTTTGCAAAAGAATATATTATCCAGTATTTAGCCTGAAATTTGTATTATACTGTACCATTAAACAATGGTCAGGGGATGTTCTGCTTTTTGGATCTCACAGGATATATCAGTCTAGGCTATTTGACTCATTTTAGATTAAGCCTTTATTTAATAATTGTGTTTAAATATGCATGTAAGACCAGCTAACCAGGTTTTGTGTGTATGTTTGCTGTTTGTAATTTGTTAAATAATGTTAAGCAAATAAGTGTAATAGTTCACAGCTTTGCACAATAATACCTGATACATTTCATGTTTTTATAACAGTAAAATAACTGACTAATATTGTTGTTCTTTGGTGGCATTTGGCAGTACTGTAGCTACTGTATGGCCAAGACTTTGTTTAGAGTGTTAGTGAGTCATCTTAATACTGTACAGTATATTGTTTTAATAACAGTAAAGTTGGCTGGTGTGAGAGGCTAACTTGTATATGTGATGTGTAATTCTTCTCGTAAGGTTAAACTGCTATTGTTGGGGGCGGGGGAGTCTGGCAAGTCAACGTTCCTGAAGCAGATGCGCATCATCCATGGGTATCGATTTGCACACGATGAGATCGACGAGTATAGAGAAACTATTTACAAAAATGTTGTCTTGGGTATGAAGGTAAGTGATACTATACTATCCATATTGTCCTAAGCAATAAGATACTTACTACTGTATTTATCACTGACAGTCTTTAACTTGTTCACAGTTAATATATATAGGGTTTCCATAAAATATCTGATTCATTTTAAAACTTAATAACCTCAAAAATATTATAGATAGAACATGGTGCTCTTGTGGAGGTATACTGTATAATGTTTTTAAAGTTATTAATTGTTAAAATGGGTCAGATAGTTTATGGACACTTATAATCCTGGGTACCTGTTATAAGCTAAAAAATATTGTTTTTTGGTTTATATCCCTTATGTCCTGAGTAACATATCTTATGGCAAGAGTCAACTGGGGGCACTAAATATTTTTATTATTAAAAAATGACATTCATATACCATAGTGATTGAATTTATGTTTACTGTGGTAATACAGATACAATATTGGACTGTTTATCCGGCGTCCCAGTATCCGGAATGCTCCAAAAACCAGCAATGTTCTGGGACAAATAATTTTAAAAAGAGCACCAAGTAATTTCCAGGTCGAGCAAGGATATTTCCAACTGTCCCCTATCTGTGGGCTGTATGTTGTGTTATCGTTATTCTTTAACTTGTAATTTGGGGAAGATATATGTAATTTTCTTATTTATTTATTTTTTTTGCTCGGTTACATACACACTCAATCTTACACACAGAAAGTACAAAACAAAAAAATATGTGAGGAACACATATCCCTTAAACAACCCCCTGAAGGCTCAAAACCATGATGTGTGTAATTTTCTTCATTTCTTTCTCAGTTACATGCACACAGTCCCACATAAAGGAAGTGGAAAAAAATTCATAAAGCTTAAAATTTTATGTATCTACAGGTGACATTTGTTTGGGATGCTGCTGCATTGCTATAGTGACCACTGGGGGTGACTGTGATGCAGTTTGTACACTGACTTGTATCATTTTTGCTCCTTTTATGTTTGTATTGTTGCTATCTATATGGGTTTTTTATTGCTGTTTATATGCCTACAATTTTAAGTTCTAATGTTACAGTGTAGTACAGTTAAAGCTACATTTAGGGGTGAATCTAGTGATCTGAACAGTAGCTTCACAGCCAGTTACAGCAGGCTTACTGAACATTTTGTACATTTTAGACCTGGCGCTCTAAATTCTGGAACCCCCCCTTTTCGGCAATATCAGGTCCCAAGCTTGCCGGATAAATGGTCCCATACCTATACTGTACTTACTCTCATATGATATTTATACTCACAAACAGTAAGTAGTGAGTGACTGAGTTGGATGGAGAGTATGTGATCTTGTTTCATTTATTTTCGCTTCTCTTCTTATAACACAATATTCACTCACATTAATTTTGTGTACAGTATTTACACACCTCCCAGAACAAACAATATTAATTAACTGGTTCTCTCTCTCTATACCTAACACAGTATGAGCTGCTTAACACCCTCCTTGATGCAGGCTTGGTTGTCAATCAGTTATTTTTCTTACTTTGATAGAGAATATGATTTATCTGTTACTGAGGACACATACAGGATAAACCCATCATCATCCATCACTTGGACATCCTGTTGATTCATTAGATGAATTAGGTGCGGGTTTATGTAAATATTGTATTACTTTTTTGAATAGTCACTGGTCACTTCAAATGGGCAAAGATAGATAGACACTGTAAATATTTATTCAGTAAAGTTATCATATAAATAAGTTTACAATTGGTTTATCATGTATTCTATATAGACAATGTAGGTACAGGTATGCAGGTCAACATGTATACAGGTGATGCAGATATACAATACAGTTCAGCATGTATATAGTGTAGGTTCCCTGCGACTGTCCATGACTTTATTCCTAGAGTGCCTTGCAGGTATACAAGCAATGTACCTTGGCAAGGCAGGTATGCAAACAATGGTAAACAGTAAGGCAGTTTGACCAAGAATAACCAACAAAGTGATCAAATGCATATTTCCAGTACTATACATAATTTACTTATACTAACATCTATCCAATTACGTTGCAAATACTGGTGTAAACTTTTTAGATGTAATCTATGTAATTTGACTAAATTATATACGTTGGCTTGTTGGTTGCAGGTCCTGCTGGATGCAAGAGATAAGCTTCGGATACCCTGGGGAGATGAGTCTCGAGAAATATACGGTCAGCACGTCATGAAGTTTGTTGGTTCTATGTTACTCGACCGCCTCTTGTTTCTAGACTATGTACCAAGTGTTAAGGAACTCTGGAAGGACACTGGTATAAGACAGGCGTACAACAGGCGGGCAGAGTACCAGCTGGTGAGAAAATTTTCAAGCTGTTAATGTTATCTTACTTTAGTTGATAATGTTCTTATTAGAATTTAATGATTTTAAGAAGTGTAGTTAACTTACTTTAATAATAATTAGGAAGTACAGTACTGTTTACAGTATTCCAGTGTGGGTATTATGCTCTTTTTTAACCATTTTGTGGCTGGAAACAAGAGCAATTACCCTTTTTACTTTTTATTTTTAAATTTTCATTAAATCAATCTTACCCCAAATACAGTCCTTGTTCCAACACATGAGCCAAAATCATCCATCAACAGCACATTTCCCCCCCAAACTCACTCAGTGTCTCTCTCTCTCTCTCTCTCATCCCTTCTATTGCTCTTGGGTCAAATTCATTACCGTTTGCTGACACATCTGCTCCTCTTCCATCTCTAACTATTTTTATCACATTATTTTTGTTCACATTTACAATCAACTTTCTCCTGGTACACACAAATTAACTAATTTATTCACAAACTTTGTGATTATATAATATATAAAAGATTAATTTATATAAATTCAAAAGTAAGCTATCTGAAATTTTTTTTATCGAAGGTTTATGTAAGGTAAACATTAGTATTGAGCAAATGAGCATCTTTTAAAAATAACATTCAGGTACTGTACAGTATGTGCTTATTTTGCCCATACAGTACATCTGCTCTCAGTGGCTGGCATATTGTTCTATTATGACTAGAGGGTTAAAACTCAGGATCCCTACACAGTGTTAGATGGAACTACAGTAATTAGATATGTTTTCCTGTTGAGACTAGAGCCAATGAAAAGTGGTTTTAGAAACAGCATTTTTCATTTAATATCCAAGACAATGAGTTGTGGCACAAGAAATGTGGAAGGAGAGAGAATACTACAGTGGTCCCTCGGTTAACGAACGGTCTAGTTAACAAAATTTTGGTTAACGAATTAGCTCCCAAAAGGATTTTCAGTTTGATTAACGAACGAAACTTTGATTAACGAAAGCCTTACGAGAAACACGTTTTGTTGTGCGCATCATCTGTTCAGCTGATGGGCTAGTCCGCCAATACAGTAATCGGTTCTATGTTTACATTTGTTTCCAGTGGAGTAAATATCAAGAAGGTTGCACTCTTTAATATTTTTGCATTTTTTATATTAAAATTATTAGTCATTTTAAAATTTAGTTAACATATTGATAATATATGCAGTACAGGGAACTAGTATTTGTGCGCCCATCAGCCGCTTGACTCACCCGCCAAAGCTTCTCGGTTTAACTTTGTTTACAGTGGAGGAAACATTCAGTTTGTTGGTCTCCTGAATATTTTTACATTAAAATTATTGGTCATTCTGAAATTTAGTTAACATATTGACAATATATAGTGCAGTGCAGTGTTGATTTAAATAAAATAATCTTTAATTACAGCTAGTGAACTTAAAATTTTATTGGTGAAATTACTGTATCAAGCATGGGTCCAAAGAAATCTAGAAAGGCGATTTCAATTCAAGTGAAACAGGAAATTATTAAGAAACATGAAGAAAACATTAGAACCAATGTACTGATTAAAGAATATGGCATGTCGGCATCAACTGCGTCTACAATAATTGCGCAGAAAGACAAATTTAAAGAAGTGAAAGTGAGAAATAAATCTACCAGAGTGTTTAAAGGTAGATCATTAATTGTAGAAACAGAGAGGTCACTTATTATTTGGATTAAAGAAAAACAAATGAAAGGAGATAACATTTCTACTGAATTCATTTGTGAAAGAGCCAGGGAAATTTATGAACATTTGAAGGAAGATCAACCTAGTTCTTCTGAAACTGTGCTTGAAGAGTGTAGGGCCAGCAAGGGCTGGTTCGATAAGTTTAAGAAAAGAACTGCCATTTATAGTGTTGTTAGGCATGGTGAAGCTGCCAATGCGGATACAGAAGGAGCTGAAAAATTTGTAGTAGAGTTCAAGAAATTGATGGATGAAGAGGATTATCTTCTACAGCAAGTTTTTAATGTGGATGAAACTGGGCTGTTCTGGAAGAAAATGCCCAAAAGGAGATTCATCACCAGAGATGAAGTTGCTTTACCTGAGCATAAACCCATGAAGGACCGTCTCACTCTATTGCTTGGTGCCAATGTTTCGGGATTTCTGACTGAAGCCTATGCTCGTATACCACTCTGAGAACCCCAGGGTGTTCAAGCAACAAAAGGTGGTAAGAGGACAACTTGGAGTTTCTTGGAAGTCAAACCGTAAGGCATGGGTAACTAGACCTCTTTAATGAATGGGCAGTTGAGGTGTTTTGCCCTACTGTGAAGAGTTACCTCACCACCAATAAACTTCCTTTAAAGGCTCTTCTTATGGATAATGCCCCTGGTCACGACCCTGAACTTGCAGCACTTTGGAGGCTAGATTTGACTTTGTTAAAGTTTTGTTTTTGCCTCCCAACACTTCATCAATTATGCAGCCAATGGACCAAAATGTAATCAGCAACTTCAAGAAGCTGTATATGAAGAAGATGTTTAGAAGGTGTCATCAGGCTGACATTAAAGTGTCATGTATGAGCAGGTAACCATATGCCCACAGCACAGCCAGAGAAATGCAACATTGGGGATATGTCCCTGAATTGTGTCGATGAGTTCTGTTACCTGGGTGACATGATCAGTGCTGGTGGGGGCGCAGAAGCTTGCTCAGTTGCCAGAGTCAGAAGTGACTGGAAGAAGTTTAGGGAGCTGCTGCCTTTATTGATGGCAAGAAGATCTTCCTCCTGAGTGAAAAGAAGAATGTATGCATTGGTGTGAGAAGTATAATGTTATATGGCAGTGAAACATGGGCAGTTAAAGAGGATGAGATAAGTAGACTTAAGTGAGCTGGAATGAGTATGGTGAGGTGGATGTGTAATGTGACACTGAAAGACAGGAGGCCCTGTTCAGAGGTAAGAGGGTGGCTAGGCATTGAAGGTGCAGTATTGGCAAAGTTCTGCAGAGAGGTAGGCTGAGATGGTTTGGTGCATGTGGGGAGAGTGGATTAGACCAATTGGGTCAGGAGGTACATAGGCCTAAATATGGAGGGGAGGAGAGCCAGGGGTAGGCCAAGAATAACATGGGAGAGGTTGTAAGAAATGACACTGGAGCTAGGAACCTGACAAGAGAGACTGCAAGATACAATTCAGCATGAATAGCTGCCATTGGGTATAACCACAGCTGTCCCACACAAGCATGGAAAATAGCCATAAAACAAAGATGATGATGAGGTGGAGGGGGGGGGAACTTCAGTGCCATTCTTTCTTAACTTTGCATTAGGTGGTACAGGATGATCAAGATATATTATCCAAATGGATTAACAGGTTAACCCCAGCTAATATTGGGAGAACATCTAAGAACCTGAGGGCCCTCTATCAAGTCTCCCTGTGTTATGATAATTGCCTGGCTTTGAACTCCAGAAAAGGGGATCCTAGGGTTAATCTCTCATACATTGGAGTCTTGATAATTCACAAAATACAAAATCGTGTTCTTAAATTTTTCGGTACCTCTATTACTCTCTTTTAACCCCTGGGCTTCAGGCTATAGCCGGCCTCCCCCACGTGGGCATGTTCAGGAATATTTAAAAAACATATAAAAACCAATTCTAGTGTTACCGACTGGTTATGAATGATATAAACAAGAAATAAATATGTGTCCTTACCGCAGGTTGGCAACACGGGCTAGGAAGAGTCGAGACTGTTCGTAAAGTGGCGTATGTATGACACAATAGTACGAGGTAAACAACACTAAGTTGTAGGCAGTATGAAGTACAGGACACTTGTTTTACTGTGTTATTACTATTTACACTGTTAACAATCATTATCACTACGCCAGTAATTGATGACAAAACTAAACTTGTATTGTGGGGTAGAAACACAAGGTGAAGTGAGTCAAGACCAAGGACGAGATTCCTACATCACAAAAGCTGAGAAGCTACTGAGACGAGACTGGGAGGCTCTCATGTGTGAGTGAGTGAAAGATAAATACCTACTTGGCAATATAATCTAGCCAGGCCCACAAAGGATCAAACGTATGTGATGTGACCCGAAGCCTGTTGTTAAAATTTTGCAGTCAAATATTCAGAATTCGTGGCTGAATGCTGGCTGCTGTGGTGTTTGTTTACATAAGAAACAATAAAAGATGTGGAAATGTCTTTTCATTGCTGTAATTTACCTTGAAATTACCGAAAATATAATATGAGTATCACTTCAGTGCTCCAATGTGACTTAGAATTAAAGTAAATATAAAATAAGAAAAATTAATAGTAGTAACTGAATTGTTTGTGAGAGGCAGAGAGGTTGGCTGGTGGACTTAACTTACCCTTTCTCCCTCTCCCCCTCCCTTTCCCCAAGCTAAGCACACATCACCGACCTCATTAATACAACATTATGCAATTTCACCATAATTCCTATATTATTTAGGTTCATTTGGTATATTGGCTTACCGTAACCCACAGGAAATTATGAGAAGGGAATGAGCTGCTTATGTAATATAGAACTACTTTTTGTACAATATCTGCTACTGTATAATTTTTATGTATTATGTACTATGTTATGTGTTTATTAAAGCAGTTTTGGAGCAGTTTATGGGTATTTTTTGTCATCTGGAACCGAACTCATTATTTCCATTTAAATCAATTAAACTATAATTAGGTATTTGAAAATTCATGATGTCTTCTGGTACCTAGCCCATGAATTATGGAGACTCCACTGTATCTCCACACTGTAGATGAACCAAGTACTGTACAGTATAATCTGCATTTACGCGGTCAATTGAACCCGTGGAGGTCCGCGTAAAACGAGAAATGCGTAAACGAAATAACAGAACATATGGGATTAATTGAAATTGAGACTGGGCCGACCCCCAAACTTCACTTTTTCCGACACAATACGTACGTTGTAGTAAAAATAACATCTTAATTTTATGATGGTATGAACACACAATTAATATTTAAGAGAAATATCAATAATACAGTAAAAGTCCAAAAATCCGGATGCCAGAAATCCGGACCACCCGAGAATCCGGACTTTTCTTCGATTTTTTTCCTTTTTTTTAGCGGGCTTTTGAAAGTATGTGTGCATGCGTGAGCGCCACAGCTGCACAGCGACAACAAGCGACCACGTGGTCGCCACTTTAAAACGAGCAATCAAACTGTGACAACGTATGTAATTTTGAGTCCTACTCTTTCCATTAACAGAGTACTGTACAAGCCCATAATAATGGCTCCTAAAGTAGATAAACTTCGTTGTGTGAAGAGAAAGAAGAACAATTTGAAATTGAGTGACAAACTTGAAATAATTAAAAAACTAGAACGTGGTGTGAGCAATGCTGTTCTAATGGAAACATACGACATTGGAAAGTCTACAATTTATGATATAAAAAAGGCAAAGAATAAAATTCTAGAATTCACAGCTTTTTCCTTAAAACTGCTCGTTTTGATAAATGAAGCATGTTATATTTGCTAATGAATAAACTATCAAAATGTACCTGTTCATTTCTTCTTTATTCCTCCTTAAATTTGAATTTTAAAAGTACTGCCTTAGAATCCGGAAAATCTGAAAATCCGGACCGACCCAATCCCCGAGCAGTCCGGATTTTTGGACTTCTACTGTATTAGGTTTTTTAACACATACGTTAGTAGAAAAGATGGGTCGGCACATGTGGATGGCGGCTGGTTCCGAGGCAGAGGGCAGATTAGTTGCCCTCCGGTGAATCACTTTCACTACTCGCAGAAGTTTGCAGAGCTTCCCAGACAAACCCCTCAAAGTCCATATCATCACTGTCACTATCACTGACTTGGGCTGGCTGTGGTTGTGGCGAAGAAGTCCTTAATACTACGTTGACGACTAGCATTGATGTTGTCGAGATAGATCTGGATATACGGCTCCATAACTTTCGTCAGATGGTTATTACACTCTTCATACCGTTGCTTGTTTGGGTCGTTATCAAGGATGAGCTTTACTTTCTCCCCCAACTCGATGATTTCCTTCTCACAATCATGGCTTGGTCCAGGTAATTCAAGGTTTCTCTCGGGTGGTGGGGGTCCAGCGGAAGCCATTGTGAGGGGAATAGTGGGCACAAGAGAGAACTGTATACGCGGACTGAGAACAATGAGACTGGCCCGACTAGGTCAGCGACTTCTACCCTCTGGTGGCAGGGCACATCATGTTACATTAGACCAATTACAGCTAGCGGCGGAGGGAATGCGTGGGTGGTAAGGATGCGTGGCCCAATCACAGTCCGATACATCATATGATGTCAGCGATAACGTAAGAGGGGCCTAATGCGTATCCCTCACCGCGCCGCTTCCCGCGCATGGTCAAGAATGGACTGCGTGGGTAAAAAATGGCGCGGCGATCTGGACCTCTCCAGCCACTCGCCGCGTAAATGACCAAATTTACCGCATAATTAAAACATTTCATTCTGGCAAGGCACCGCGTAAATGACCAAACGCGTAAACAAAAACCGCGTAAATCCAGACTATACTGTGCAGTAACAGGAGTAATTTTAGCCTCATAACCTTCATTACACTTACTCAAACCTCTTGTTGAAGATGCTATCAAATTTTGTATAAAGATTCTTGTGGGTAAAGTTTTGAAATTGTGTGTTTGTTCCTGGAATTGTGAGATACATGAAGTTGAACCATTTGAGTACACACACTAATCATAAACATTTTCTCTTTCCAGACTGACAGTGTTGCATATTTCTTTGACTGCTTAGACAGAATAGGAGTCTTGGTAAGTGATACTGTTAGTAGAAACGTTTTTACTACTGTTGTACTAAATAGAATAAATGATTAAGGTTATATGGATGCCTTGGTTTAAGTGGCTTTCCTAAATCCACAATTTTGCCAACTTATCTTGTTCTCATCATAACTGCTATGTAGCACAATTACTGTATACTGTAGTTACTGTATTTTACGGCATATAAGACACACTGCGTCCTTTATGTAGAGTTGCAGTCTCCTGTAGTGAAGGCGATGCAGGTACTGTACAATATATGAAATCGAGAAAGCTGACGAAACAGTGGGTGGTGGAAGAAGTTTTCATGTTGCTGATTGGATGTATGTGTGATGCAATATCATTCCAAGCCCAGTCAAAAACAAACTTTCAGAGATTAGGTTGGGTATTGAGATAATGGCATTGGGGCATAACTCATTAAGGATTGTAGGCTCGTTGACTTGGGCACTGGTGACACATAAAATACATAAGTAGGTGTTTAAATTTGTGTGACCCCCCTCCCAGGCCCCCAGATGATCACTATTTTCTCTTCTGAAACATAACCCCCATAATGCATTGTTCGACCATTCAAAATAATGTTTTTTCACTTAAAGAATTTCCAGGGATGCAACCCCTCCATGTATTAGGGGATGCCTGTATATCTAAATATGTCTTCTGTGAAAGGAAAAATATCTCTGGATGATATGGATGTTGCTGTTTGAAGCAGAAAGATAACAAGACTATGATAGTTACCAGGATAAACCATTTCCTACTGTACTTGATCAGACACTTGCCTGTGGAGAGCAGAAGATTCTGATATTATCATTCCTCCAGATTTTAATAGGATAAGATAGGTTCAGCTGGTCATCCATTATAATATGATTAAGTAAGAACTATCTCTCACTTGTAATTATTCAAGGTAGCATGAACAAACAATTGGCCAGTTATGTTATATACCATGACTGCATATTGTTTAGTGCTCCAAGAAATTAATTAGGTTGCCAGCAAATAAGACTATATGCTTTTACAATAAGTCATCAGTATACTTAATCATTCCCTTTTCTTATGCAGCCAGAATATGTTTGCTTAATTAATCTTAATACTGTCCTGCATTACTGAGGAACTGTATTTTGTTACAGGAATACATGCCAACAGAGAAAGACATTCTTCACTGCCGAAAAGCCACCAAAGCAATCACAGAGTTCACCATCCCCATCCAGAATGTTCCATTTCTGTTTGTGGATGTTGGAGGACAGAGGACACAAAGACAAAAATGGTTTCAGTGCTTTGAGAGTGTCACATCAATAATTTTTCTTGCATCATCATCAGAGTTTGATCAGAGGCTCTTGGAAGACAGGTACAGTAACTCAAAATTCTTACACAAGATTAAAGCAATAATTCAGGGCTAGATATCACAGGCAGGTCTTAAGCCTGTATTCAAGACCCATTATCATTATCACCATTTTACAGTTTAATCCTCAAGTGTCAGAATCGTGAGATCCATCACTTTAGCCACTGAATGATGTGTGTGTACAAGTGCTCACTATTGGACCCAGAACTCAATTTTCTTCTTAATAATACGGTATGATACTTTTATTAGTTATGACTTATCATTATCCATTGATTTGAAATTGTACAAAAATTCACTTCAACTTGGAGATATATTGGTGTTTTAATTCTTGAAGAAATTAAGACATTAGCATATATATATAGTTTATGTACATTTTTATGAAGACAAAAAATTTAAGTGGGTGATGATAAACATACTGTATATAATATGAGAAGTGCAGTGCCAAAATGGGAGAACCATCATGATCGGCCAAACATGTTTTCTTTGTGAAATGCGCAGTTCAGATACAAGTGGTGGATATCTCTTTAGGACACTGAAAACATGGTTGACAATCCATTGAAAATTATGTCGACGTGACTATGGATGGGATTTTTTCACTTTTTTAAAAGTGGCACTTGTCCCATTCTGGTGCTTGTCTACTCATATACAGTACTAGTATCATAAAGTATGAAAAAAGTCAAATTTATTTCTTCTTAGTATGGCTGTGTTATCTCTACATGAGGCTTAGTAGTGAGTTTCAGACCTAACTTACCTACACATCATCACCACCACCACCATTGTGATTAAGTGTACAGTACTGTGTCGAGCATTAGTTTGTGACCCTCCCTACATAGTATTTCACATGATGTTTAGCATTAGAAGGAACTTTATTCTCTTCAGTTCATGGTATATAATTATATGTATTTATATTTTCCAGGATCACAAATAGGTTAGAAGAATCACTCAACATCTTTGGGACCATTGTTAATAATCGCAACTTTCGTGAAGTTTCCATAATTCTCTTCCTCAACAAGACTGACCTCCTCGTCCAGAAGATTAGGTCTAGACAAAGCAACGTCTCCCATTATTTCACAGATTTTGTGGTATGTGGATTATTATTTATTGTGCATGTCATTGGCTTATGGTAAAACCTTCCACCCAGTGTATGTATTGCCAAAGATAGTGTAATACTGTAGGTGTGAAATGGCTTATGGACATGGATGGATGTGCTGCTGATACATGATGCTGGGGTGTATTAAGTAACAGGTTGACTGGCTCTAAACTTTGTGACTTGTGGAAAGGGATCACCACAACAGCCCAAATGATTTAATGACAGTCAATGAGAAAGATTATGGATATCTGTGTTACACTTAAAAAGGACTTCTGCGAGTTAAAAAGAATGAAAAAAATGAGTAAGGTTTGAAGAAGAAAATGTGAAATGCAGGTTACTGAAATTCTGTAATGAAATTTGTAAATGATGACCACAAAATTTGGGATATGAAACAAAAATTTGCCCTTACTGGAATGATTTTTTTTTTTTCAAAGTTTTCAAAACAAAAATGAGTAAAAGAAAAAACAATCATCAAAATGAGAATATTTTGTGCATTTCATAATGTCTTTGTTTACCACCAAATGTGCCAGTCACGTTTACATCTGTAAGACTGTGTAATGTGTGACCCTTACACTCTCTTGATTCCTAAGCATCCTTATTGTTGATATGATCTTTAGGTTCATATTATTTTGCAAGCTTGTGTCAAGGTGAAGAGACATACTGCTTGTGTTGGCAATATGTAGAGCATCACATGTTCAACAGGGCTTCTCTCTATTTTTTCCCCTCTTGAATATTTGCTGCCATGCATTTCTAGTGAGTTAAGTCTTGTGTACAGGTAGCCCCTGCTTAAAATGAGATACACAGTACACTCATAAAAAGTCTTGGGCTGTGTGAATCCAAGAAAGCCATTGAAAACCATGAAAATATGAGAAATGTGTGTTGGAGGGAAACAGAGAGCGTCTGGTAGCAGGGTATTGGACTGCAGCCCCCCCCTAAATCTTTAAAACACCACTTTTTCTCACTTCAACACTAATTCCATTATTTCAAAACACACTTTAGTAAATTATAACTCACTTTGAGTCAGAACAACTGCTTCCTTGACTGCAGTTGTTGAGACTCAAAGTGATTAAGGGAACAGTAGAACTCTCGGTGTCACGAATTGTGTCAGTCGTGCCACATTGGACACACTGCTTCTTGTCTGATCAGCGAAATTAAGTAACATTGGGTCTGGTTAGTACAGTACTTGGATGGGTGGCCACCTGGACCTAAGGACACCAGATGCTGCTGACAATAAGGACTCTACTGGAAACAAGCCTCTTATGCTTTGTCAGCTATCATTGTCATATTGACTGACTATCAATATTGCTGCTGGCCTGTGCTGCCATCTATTGAGGGCAGGGGAACTTTAATTATTCATCAGGTGATACATTGTCTTTGATAAATACCTGTACAGTATTTATTAAACCTTTAAAAAATATATTTAATTAAACATATTAACCCCTTCGCTATGGGGACACCAATTTGAATATTTTATTTGAACGCCAGATGATTTTATTCAGCTCAGAGGCGACACCGTGCACAAGGGGTAAAAGTCAGTAATATGAGACCACTAATCCCCCACCCTATCTCCATCTGACAGTGCATCAGGTCAATTCAGGTCTCCCCCAAAAATACTTTAACCTTCATCTTTATTCAAGACATCTTCAGGTCATGAGACCCACTAATCCCCCACCCAAGAAAGGGTGACCTGACATTCCATCCGTGTAAATTCAGTTGACTCTGAAGATGTCTGGAATAAAGACGAAAGTTAAGGTGCTCCAGTGTAGTTAGTTGACAGAGAGGTAGCAGTGAACAACACACGCGGTGGCAAGAGGACACAGACTGAGCAGATGTAAACAAACCAGATGCTCCAAGGAACACGTGGCACGTTTGGTGCAGAATTTAACGGAATCACACTTGATTTAGCAGAAATTTAGATTTAATGAACAGGGGTGGCTTGAATTAGTTCATTAAATCAAGAAAATACTGTACATAGCATATCATAAAATACAATAGCATATACAGTATATTATGTACAGTCACTCAAAAAAAACTAACTATACAAAATTGTCTTGAAAAATGACACAACTGACGAAGGGTTTTGGCAACCCTACTGTAAAGGCCTGGCCTGTAGGATATAAATCCCTTGCCAACCTAATCAGGATCTTATCAAAGGAAAGTCAAGAACCGTAGGTTTCCAAGGGGTAATAAACAACCGGAAGAGAGGACATCTCTTTACTAAGAAATAATCACAAAAGTTTAACTCTGTCACCACTTCCACAGACATTAGATAAACAGCACCGGAGTCAAACACAATTGTTAAAACAGAGCATAATCAATAAAACAAAGTACAGTTATTTCCTACTGTAACGCGGTGATCCGCCCTCATCAGGGTGAGGTCCGAGTGAAGCAATCGGGCTCGCCTTCAAAACTCTCAGGGGGAAAGTCCAGGGCAGCTTCCTCACTTGGCACCGACGTTGGTGGGCGATGTCTTGCCACACAGGAGAGACACCAGGGCATGGACGGTGGATAGATAGGAGATAGGGCGTGGTGGAAGTGGTGATCACGTGGCAGCCGCGGTAGTAGCTGGAGTAGGTGACTGGAGTTGACAGTCGAATAGTGAAGGACCAGGGAATCAGTCCACGAGCTCAAGGAACCTCCGATGAGTACACAACCAGAGAAGGAATAGAACAGCTGGGTGAAGTAACAACTGTGGTGAAGGCTGGGTTGTGCCTGCCTGGCGACGAGGCCGTGAACAAGTGAACGAGCGGCGGACAACCTACCTGCTCGTTACAGCCCTTACACCTACTGAGACAACAGGAGCCAGTGTTCATTCTGAAATTCATCAACCTCCCCCAAGTAGAGATAGTTTTTGAGTGACTGTACAAAAAATAGCTCCTTCCACACTCAAACCATCCTCTAGGCACAGTGAAACAATTCAGTTGAGCCGGGCAGTCACCCAACTGACTCAGAGATGTGTGTGGCAGCTGCCCCACTGCTCTGTGTGTCACATGGGGGAACGGAGAGTGCAGTGGCGAGTCATGATTTTTTCACAACTAATTAATGTTAAGTGATATAATGCTAACTAGGGATACCTATACTGTCCAAAACCACATTTTGTAATTCTTCTATTAAGCTTTCAAAATATATCTATATTTTTTTTAATTAACGATAATTATATTAGGGTGCTTTTTAACAGCTGAAACATCTTATGGGCCAGAAAAAACAGTATATAATGTTTTTCATTGGGAAATTGGTTTTGCTCTTCTGAATTTCACGTTATAGAAAATTTTTCAGGAATGCACCGCTTTTGTTATGTAGGGGCTGCCTGTATCTTTGAAGGACAAGAGTAGGTGAAGATTATATACACGGTACTGTAGTCTTCAGTGCTAAGAGCCAATAAGTATGTTGGACATATGTTGTATTTCATTAAATTATACTGCATGCTTATTTTAGCTCTCCTGCACAGGTAGTTAAGTAGTTAAGGAATAAAATATTACAGTCATTATAGGGCTAATCAGTCCCAAAGCTTTAGTCCATTCTATGAAATTTAGGTAATTGTGATTATTTGGGGAATTATAGATCTGGGAAATGATACAATCACCAAATTGCAAGCATAGACGTATCTAATCATGTTTGATCACCTGCTAGAAATATATTTGACCATGACTTACCTTCTAGGAAACTTAGTTCATATTATATTTTGCTTCCAACAATGTGTATACAGTACAGTAATACAGTACAACCTGCTATAGGCACCATATTCTATTCATGTTAATAATTACACCTAATTACCTTCTTGAAAGATAGCATGTAGTTAAACTCATACAGTCATAAGCATACTTTCTTGTCTTCACACAACTCTTGTCTGTTTTGTGAATATATTTCCAAACAAGTCTTTAAAGATAGATTTCTTGTTATATGTGCACAGCCATTTGAGATATGTTGTGGCTGTATCTCATATAAGTTTTAAAATGAACTTTATAAATGTAGTTGAACAATAAACTGTACATGTTAACAATGTATTCATGCACTTCAAACTTCACTCACAGGGCAATCCTCATGATGAGAAATGTGTTCAGCAGTTTATCTTGCACAAGTTTGTGGAACAGCGGAGAGCAGACAACAATCGCCGTCCAATCTTCCACCACTTTACCACAGCAGTTGACACAGAGAACATTAAGGTGGTATTTAACTCTGTCAAAGACACAATACTTCAGAGGAATTTAGAAACACTTATGTTACAGTGAGGCCAACAGTCTTAACAGTGAAGTAAAAATTTTGTAGATGAACTACAATTTTGACAGTGCCCCAGTGGTCAAATTTCTCTTATTAAACATATGGTGAACAGTCAGGAATCTGTGCCATTGGGATGTGACTACTTCTGTGTAATGTCATATTTCAGGTCACATTTTTAATAATACCTTTGTATACCGTAATAGAGAACTCATGCTGCTGATTTCATGTTCACCAACGTAAGTCTTGTTCCATTATCATTTGATAACAAAATACCCCCACTGGTTAAGTTTGCTCCAGTCACTTGTCATCTGATGTACATTGATGATAGAGATACTGATGTTATGTGTTTCACGACAAAGTTCAGTGCTGCTGTGTAGTACCTGTCTCTGTTTGGATAAATTTAATGGTTTTTTTTTTATAATAATTTATCCACCTCTTCATTTTATTCAAAAAGTAAAATAATCTCTCCGTAGATATTAACTAGATTTTATTTTCTCAGTATATCGAGTTTGCAGTTTGTGTGGCACAGAAGTTAAAGTTATGCTAGTGGCTTCCATGGGAATACATGCACTAAAATTACAAATGGTGAATTATGGTAGAATGTACAGTTTGCAGACAGAATTCCCTGAACACTTGGTAATATCTGGCATCTACTTGTTGGTCATATGTATATACAGTATATGATTGGTTTATACCTATAATACTGCTTTTCATCACATATTGTGTCAGAACCACAAAATGGAATAAAAAAATACTCCTTAATACTGTACAAAGAAAAATCTGAGAAAATATATTAAAATTCCAATCCTCCTCACCTAATGATCCAAAGATACTTACAGTACTGCCAAGTGTCCAGGGAATTTTGTCCACAAATGTGCACCATTATTACAAACTGATAAGATTCTAAGCTGTGGCTTATGGAGTCTTGCACTCTTAATATCAATTTAAAATGATCAAATGTGATAGTAGATGACTCAGATATTCAGTTAGGAAATATGTGAGGTTTTATTCTCCAGCAAACATTAATTGTTTTTGGTCTTTTCCTGCAGTTCTATTTTGTTTGGGAAGACATCATTATCTGATGAGTATACTGCTCAAAGCATTGATAGAATGATACTCTTATGTAGCCAAATGACTCATTGATGTGAATAGACAGAATTATGTAATAATCTACTCTTTAAAACTAGGTAAGGTTTAAGCAAATTTTTTAATGTATATAAATAATATTGCCTATAAATGGTCTCTGGAAGTGTCTCGATAATTCTCGTTTAGAATCACTAGCTTTTTGTACATCCTGGAATGTGACGGCGTGTTTTGGTACGGTAATGTTCGTCGTCAGTCACCCTCTGTTGTCACTCTGATATTTGTTTTCTGTCCATTAATTTTAGTTCTGTGTGTGTGTCTCATTTCATTGATTTTTTTGGGGGAGAGAATATTGCTTATAGGAAGGTACAGGATAACTTCACTCTTGACAGCTTTATTGTGTATGAAATAACCTGGTTTTGGCTTCAGTGTTTCTTCCCTGGTTGTTGACTTGTTGTGCTCCTTTGTGACTTTTGTGCTATTTTTGATGGTTTGTTGTGTAATAATGAAGAAAACGTTGACAGTATCCATGAAGCTTTCTGGTTCCAGCTTGACGGGATTATTTAACCAAATTAATTAGCATCAATTGTTCTGTGTTGTGTGATTATTGGCCTTGAGAAACAGTGATGGCTTTTATTATTATTATCTTTATAATTTATATTTACTACCAGTCAAGGATAAAGTCGTCACCTTTAGCTTTCATTTATTGTACAGGAAAAGTTTACCAGTTACAAAAATATTAACTTTATTTATGCTTAACTGATTGTTGTGAAGAAATACTCGCTTTAGAAGTTACAGATATTTGTCTGATCGTCTCTCGGTAGTTTTTCTTTGGTGTTTATATCTGAATCAATTAATTGTCATGTAGGAAATTACCTTTTTTTAATGAATGAAAATGAGGCGACTTTGTTACTGAATGTAATATTGGGTCTCGGGAAGTGATGATAGATTTTTTTTTTTTTTTTCAAGGCTTCTCATGCTGTTATGTAAGGTGGCCAAAACCAAGAGAAAACACACACACACATTCAGTTTGTTGGTCTTCCATCTTCTGACACACTTACTCTCTGGTTCTCTATCTTAATTATTTGACCTCTTCCTTTCTCTCTCTCTGTCTTTAAACTAACATTCATATCACACTGTGTCTTTAACATCCATATAACACAGTGTCTCGTTAAACATTCATATCACACTGTCTCTCTTTAAACCAACATTCATATCACACTGTGTCTTTAACATTCATATCACACTGTGTCTCGTTAAACAAACATTCATATCACACTGTGTCTCTTTAAACCAATATTCATATCACACTGTGTGTCTTTAAACTAACATTCATATTACACTGTTTTTCTTCCCTAATTCATTACATTACAGTATACTTAAATTACTTTGTCATTTACTTGCTCCTAGTTCTATATAAACAGTCTTCCAAACGCACACAGTAATATATGTAACTTGACATCAAAATTGTTGACTAGGTTAAAATCAAATGCAAATGGCAATTGATTCACTTCCCATGCACTTCCCATATCATAAATTATCAAACTTGTTACTCATCTCCATTAATCTTGCTTTTCTTTCTCTTATTATGCCATCTATAAGGGTATTGAACAACCATGGTAAATTTATGTATTCCTTGAGGTAGTTTTACTTTCATTTGGGGACCCGTTACTCTTTTCTTGATAAACTCTTTAACATGTCTTTCACTCTTCATATAAAATTTCTGAGCAGCATTAAAAAATTTCTTTGGTTACACTTTCTCTCATCCTTCCTTAACCACTGTTTGTGTGTGTCTATTTTTCCTCATTCTTTAAACCCTTCAGCTGTATTCACTTCTAACAGCTTATTGCCTTTTTAAGCCTTTTTCTCATTTCTAGCAAGTAGTTGTCAGACAAACTGTGCAAGGGTCACATTAGCCAATTTACATATCAATCTTCTGTACGTACACCAACCCTGAGTTTAACAACCCCTGGTCTATTTTTCTGTGACTGAATACAAGATGATTAAGTTATCCACACATCCCTGGCATAGGGAGGAGAGAAATGTGTGTCAAATTCCAAGCAGGTGACCAACTTCTATGCCCATAATTACGCAGATATTATAGAAGTAGAGGAGTACCTGAACGATGGGAGAGCTTAGTATACCGTAGTTTATGGAGTTATTAAAGAAATAAGAGTGAATGTTTGACAGCATTTTTTTTTTTTTTTTTTATCCACCCACTCTACTATATCAAGGAAAAGAACCTGAAAAACATCTAAAAAGAAAGTTAATGTGAAATTTGAGATAGTTTATAAAATGTAAGAATCAGTGCCTCATTAAAAAAAATATATTATTGTGTCACAGATGTTTGTGGTAATAAGGCCATAAATACAGTAAGTCAATTACCGGAAGTTAAAAATATTAATTGTTTACAAAATTGTGCGTAGAATTTGCTGATATATAGAAATATTCCCAAAGAGTTTTGCACATCCATTTTTAATGCCATTACAAGGTAGAATTATGAGATGACAGTAAAAGTAAAGTCTTGGTGTGTTGTTGAAGAAAGTGAACACCGCATTGAGTTGATGTGTTGTGGCAGCTACAATACAGTGTTTGAGTGACTTTGGTTGAGTCTGTGATGCTCTTGACCCAGGCTGTCATACTGTGTACCAGAGCAGTAAGACACTTGCAAGAGTAAATAATGATTATACTCAGTAAATTTGAGGTTTAGTACAATAATTAGCAACACAGTGTTGCCAACACTCCAATGGCACTTATTTTCAGCTCCTATTTTGTCATACTGTAATTTGTTTTTGATACACAGTTGATACACAGTAGACTTTTTATCATACTTCATAGTTCATGTACCTTGTGTGGAGCAGCTAAGTTTCAAAGATGGATTAATGTAATTTGTAAGGGCAAAATTTATCCTAAGAATCTTTAAGAGGAGCATAAGTCATATTCCTTTGTTCAGAGTAACCCTTAAAAGAATGTCCTTTTTAATTATTTTAAACCCACTCAAAGAGTTTAGGGTAAAGCAACTACTTAGTTCTTATCAGTGCCATATTTCAGCAAAGGTTTAACTGTTACATTTCTCACTGACAGTGATTTGTCCTTTCTGAAGATAATATCTTGGAAGTCACCTTTTAATTTGTCTCTTTCTCAAACTAATTTATATAGTGGCATGACTGTTCATCAACATAAGAGATTACTTTATAACTACATTACACCTCAAACTAAATCAATTTGTTAAGACAAAGATATATACCAGTATTGCCTTTTGGAGACATTTCTAATTTCACTTTTCACAGAGGAAAGAATGGTCATTTTGTTTAAGTAAAGTATATTACAATATTTACTTACACCAGTTTTTCATGTCTTTGGTAATGGGAGGTTCATTTGTCTGTCTGTAAACATGAGTATTTTGTAATCAAAGGTTGTCTACTTACTGGTAATCATGAGTTTGTCACGTCGGCTTGTTCCACAATTTTTAAGGGAATTTCTTTAAAGGTTGCTGTAAGATTGGTGCAGTATATTGCTGGAGGATGTGCCAGGATAGTGTTACTGTAGTCAACCCTCTTTGGCAGCTTTATGGTCCTTGGTTGTTTCTTAAGCCACAGCTGATGAAATGTAATTTTTTTGATGGATCTCGTTTTATCAGGTTTTCTTATTCTTTGTGGTTCTATAATTTGTGATGCACAGAATTAACATTGTAAGTATTTGTGTTTCACATTGTAAAGCCTGTTTTACTTGCAACTATAAATGGTTTGGCAAAAACTTGGTACTGTATTGTGCCACACTGGGTCTTCCCTTAGTAGGCAATACTCTTCATCTTTTTTGCTTCATTCACTCATACACAGGTCCTTTCTGAATATGGCATCCTGTTCTCCAGCAAGGTTGCACAGAGACTATATAATATTGTACCAGCTAATACTGTTTCTTTGCTCACTAGTGGCTGTGCCTTGTGGCAGAAGTATACTTGCTCACTTTTTTATACCACATAGGAAGAGATACAGTGTTAATGACTCATCCTATGCACTCTGTGCACAAACCATCTCCTCATGTTCAGGTGTCAAAAATCTATCAACATTTCTCAATATTTGCCAGATAGTTGTGCTTTATAGTGTCTTGTTGTGTTTAGATGGTTCTGTATAAGTAAAATGGATGAAGGATCAAAATAAGTTTATGTTTATTTATTATTTTATTTACTTTATTTCTTTTCACTCTAGCCATTTACAACAATGGCTGGTAAGGGCAGCAGAGAAACTCAAGCATGAGATAATCATTAATTTTTCATCACAGTTTTTTGACAGCTGCTCTTTGTAGGTGTGTTTTTCATTATGTGTGAGATCACAGAATGAGAACTGTTCAATTGCTAATGCAATTTCATGATCTAAAATTCAAATGGAAAATAATTAACCAAAGATTGATCACGTTTGACTGATGTGATTAAAACTGTAGTACAATACTGTATTTTGATCTGAAATAATCAAAGAGTGAGGACAGGTGCCAGTCAGTAAAAGTATAATTCTCACTTCTTAGAAAGGAGAAAATATGGCAGTCATGATGTAACACAATCCTTACCAACATTGTGGGGAGACAGAAGGTCACATTATTTAGATTTTAGTTTATTTTAATCATGCAGTAAGTTTATAGATGTGTATTACCTTTATGGTAGTTTCCTTGTGTAAGTGTTTCTTTGGATATTTAAGTTGTCTTCACTTTTATAATTTCTCTTTCATTAGATTTATATGAACTTACTTTTAATGTTCATATATCAACCAGCCAGTCAGGAGTTGATACAATTACTCCAATTGTTTGACCGCTAAACAAGGAGATATTTTCTTTAGATATTTTGAATGTTGATAACTACTTTGTAACACTTAAAATACTGTATAACCTAATACGTATGTTTGTGAGTTCAGTGATGTCTCAATGTTCCCAACTGTTTTGTTAATGTTAAATTCACAAAACTAACAATATTAGATTTGTCACATCATACTTTTACAATAATTAATCTAAATCTTCTCCACATCAGAGAAAAGCTTAACATTAATACTTGACTTTTGGTCTGATAAATTAACAGATTTTTTTTTTTTTTTTGTGACATTTGTGTTGAGGAAACTATTTTTGTAATTATCATAATAGTCTAGTACTGTATAGATAAAGAGAGGAAGATAGTGGAGAGTAGAGGCCTTGCAGCCTTTATAGGACCACTTGTAAACTTTGTCCTTCTATGACAGGACATAATACTTCAGTAGACTTTGTGTGTTTGTTTATTGGAAGATTAAGACAATTTTCAGAATAAACTACATATAAAGAGGTGATGTCTGAAGCTCAG